AAACATTAGTGACAGGTTCTGAAGAATATCAGCAACCATCGAGTCACTAAATTGGTGAGCCCGCATACAACTGCGTCCGTTGATTCTCGGTAATCATCAGGTTTTGGTGAGTCCGTTCCATATCTTTGGAATTTTTAAATCATTTTGTATTCGTTTAGAAACTTTTAGCGATTAGCTTTTGGTATTTTCTATTTACCGTTATCGCTGTTTCAATTCTTCAATTTTGCTGGAGTTTTTTTCGAGGGAATTGCATATCACGCATACGATGTTTCTTTGTTATTATTTTCTTCATGGATTTATTAGATTTATCCGACGAATCCGCTCCCGTGTTGGCCGCCACATTCCACCCCCATCCCTTTTGGGCATCCAACCCTAGGGCGTGGTTCGCCGTCCTGGAGACAGTGTGCCACTAGGAATATTAAGCCTTCAAAGACTAAGTTCCACCACGTGGTTTCCTCTTTGCCCGAGCACCTTGTGGCCGAGGTTTTAGATGTAGTTTTTGAACCTCCCGAAGAAAGGCCGTTTGAAGCCCGAAGGGACGCATTATTGGAACGCACGGGAAGCTCTAACAAAGAGCGAATCCGACGCGTACTGCAGGACATGGCTTTGGGCGATCGGAAGCCCTCGTAACTTTACAGGCTCATGTATAATGAGATGGGCAATACCCCTCACGACGATGCGTTCGTTAGGGAACTGTGGTTACAAAAGTTACCACAGGACGTCTAGTTCCTTCTTGCGCCAGCGCAAGACATAGCTATAAAGCGTTTGACGGTAATGACAGATCATGCCATGCAATGCCGTCAACCCTCGGTCGCAGTAGTTACCCATACCATCCCTCCAGCCACTTCTGTCGAAGGCTTTTTCCAGGCTTTCATGCAAAAGCTAAGCAATTTTAGCCAGGATAGGCAATCGAGAGGTGCACGGTTCGGTGGAAAGCCTCAATCCGGCGCTCGCTGTAGGTCCAAATCGCCCAACAATAGTCAAATATATTATTGGTATCACGCACGCTTTCGTAAAGATGCCGCCAAATGCATCCACCGTGCGCGTGGAAAGGTCAACCCGTTTCGGGAGAAGACTAGGCCGACGAA